ATCCCACTGGTGTACGTGGGACCTCTAGTGACGACAACGTCCCCAGACAGTCAGGGCCAGTAGCCAGGTTAGCCAGGGTTTGGGTGCAGGAAGGAGAATGGGGTCTGAACTCACCCCGCCTGGGTCCACTCTGAGCCCTGGTGTGCACAGCCCCAGTGCAGAGGCTCCAACCAGCCGTGAGCAGCTTCCTCCAGGCCCGGCCATTTACCCTTGTTAGAAATGGACAAGTGGATTCCCACCCATGGGAGCCCGGCTTAGAACAGCAGTAGATGGCCAGGCCTTTCATCCCAGGCACCCCAGAGTGAGTTGGAACCGCTAACCTTTATGAGTTGTGAGGGAGTCTTAACCGTTGGCGCTACCTGGGGACTTGGCCCTGCTGGAGCCGAGTCCCGTTTCCAGTCCCACTGTAGTGTGGGGCGGCAAGTGGGCCCTCAGTTTACCCATCTGTGCAATGGGTCGCGTCTCTGCGGGTGCTAGTGAGGCACCCTAAGGGTGCTTGTTCAGTGGCGCACAGAGCTAGTGCTCAAGGCTCAGCTTTGGGGGCTTGGGTAAATGTTACCCCCACTCCACCTCACCCCCAAACTGGGCCTATCCTAGTCTTCCTGCTTCCCCTGCCTCCTGCCCCTCTCGAGGTGGGAGGTGTTCCCTCTGCCCCGGCCCCTTGCTCCCTGCATCCCTCTGAGCGTTTTTAAGCAGATGCGTGTATATGGTTTCTGCTCACATACAAGCAGCTGCACTGGCAATAACCAGGAGCTGGCAGACCTTCTCCACAAAGCTCCAGAGAGTAAATATTTTTGGCTTTGCGGGCCAGACAATCTATGTCGCAACCACTCAGCTCAGCCACTGTAGCGGCAAACCGGGGCATGGATGAGGCTGGGTTCCAATAAAGTTTTATTTACAAAACAGATGGCGGGCTGGATTGCGCCTGCCCAGGGCCCTGGGTCTAATAGCGCCCTTCACCTTGGCCTTTTCCTTCTGCGTGGTGGGAAATGGTTCTGACCGTGTAAGAGCAGCATTTTCCTCCGGCTGGGGAAGGTGGGGTTCAGCAGGGGGCGCTGTCTGGCATCTATTAACAAGCCCCCAGGGTCAAACAGTTGTTCGATTGATCTCTACCTCCTCCCACAGCAATTTGTGGGTACAGGGGATGCTCAGGGGCTGGAACTCCAGGCACCCCTAATACAGTGCACCAGGGGGTGGGGCATGCAAATTGAAGTCGAGCCGAGGAGCCTGGGGGTTCTCCATGTGAGTGGCACCAAATTGCCCCCACCCCTGTACAAGCTATCAGAAGCAGGATTCCCACCAACTGTGTGGTCTCTCGCCAGTCTGCCAGCAACATTAATGACTACTTGTGTGTGTGTGTGGGGGGGGGGGGGGGGGGGGGAGTTGTTTTTCAAAAGGTCACCAGATGTGCCAAGACTTGTTGTGTAAAGAATGAGTACTTGAACATCATTCGACTTACCTTTTGTGTGTGTTACCACCTGACCACCTGAAGCATTTTGACAACACCCCCCCCCTTTCCACGTTTTTAAGAAGGGGTGTTGGTAGTCACAGCTTCTGTGGGGAGGACCCACATTAGACAATGGCTTATAGCATTCTGGTTTGTAGCCAGTCCCACCCGGGGAGACCAGATAGCATCCTGTCCCTACCATTTCTTTTTTTATTTTTATTTTTAATTTTGACAGCGGTTTTAGATTTATGGGAACTCGGTGTAGAAAGAACAGAGAGCTCTCTTACGCCTGTTTCTGCCCCTCCCCCACCTCTTCTTGGTAACATCTTGCCCGGACGGGCCGCTGTGCCACGTGATTATTAACTCAAGTCCAAGGTCATAAGGCGCATGACCCCAACAGTACTAGGCAAAGCAGTGCGGTGAAGTGTCGTCCAGCTGGTTCCAGCTCAGGGCCAAACCCGACATCCTGCGCCACCCTCACAAGTGGCCTTATGCCCGAGCCCCTTGTTGCAGCCAAAGTGTCCGTCCATCTGGTCGGGCCTTCCTCTTTTTCTGCTGTCCCTCTGCCATACCAAGCACGATGTCCTCCTCCAGGGACTGTCTCTCCTGACGCCTCTCAGGAGCGCTCCGAGACGGACATGCTTGTTCTCTTGGCGGTGAAACGCTGAGACTTGGGTCAGGCTTAGTCCTCAAAGTTAAACCCAGAACACCGAACCCCCTGCCATGGACCCTAGACCACAAGGTACAGCTGTCCCTGTGGCACCCCAAGACCAGGGCTCCCCAAGACCGGGGTTTCCCAAGACCGGGGCTCTTCACAGCAGCCGGAAGGAAGCCTGCCGCGTCTTTCTCCCACGGAGCGGCTGGCGATTTTGAACTGCCGACCTTGTGGTTCGTAGCCCAACACAGAACCACCAGGGCACCTTCCTCAAAGTGACCTCCTTGCTTTAAAGTCAGTGAGAGGCTGATCTCGTTCAGCCTCTGCCCTAAAATGGCCTTGAGCTCCCCCTTTCTGTCCCCGGCAGCTGCTGACTGTCTGGCCCTCTTCACTGTCTCCAAGGTGACCAGTGACCTCCCCCTGTCTGTAAACCGACCAACGGACAGGTCGGAGTGTGAGTCCCCCAGAGGGCCCTAGGAAGAAAGGCCTGGTGGCCTAGCTCCAGAACACCAGCCACAGGAAGCCCTCAGGAACGTATTGCACCTTGGCATTGTGGGGCCGCCGTGAGCCGGGCATATTGGCATAACTGCTCACATGGCCCCCTCCTTTGCCCCTTCTCCAGCGAGACATGGCTTGAGGCACTAGTGGTTATTGGAATCCCCACTGAGGGGGCAGGCCCTGGTCCGTCTCGTGGAGGGTGGGTTTCAGAAAAGGAACGTGCAGACCCCAGGAGCCAGTAGGGCCCGTCTTGGAGGCTCCTGGCTGCCTCCTCGCTGCCGCGCCCCCCACCCAATTCCTTCCCTGCTGCCCTGGCACCGATCTGCTGCCTAAATTAGGCCACGCAGCCCGTTAGCGCAGCTCACAGCGTGAGTGAATGGAGGAGACATGCATTAGCCAGCCTGCCTCATTGCCTCGGCCTCAGTCACATTCCCCCAGCTCCCAAGGCACAGAGCATGGGGGCCACTGGTTGCTGGGCCCGGGGGCCCAGAAGCTTCTAGAGAGGCCTCTACTGCTCTGACAGCTGCTCCCCCGCCCCTGGTGGGCCAGTAGGGAGAGGCGGTATTGGGGGATGGTACCACTCCTCCGCACGGCACGGGTAGCATTGTGACTAAACTGTGCCATTGATGAGTAGGCTCCTGCTGTGTGCCAGGCCCAGCCCAGGGTGCTAGACCCTAATGAGAATCACAGAGCTCTGGGGCCCTGGTGGGAGCAATGGTGAAGGTGGTCGGTTCGAATCCGCCCAGCAGGTCCTTTGGAGAAAGCCCTGGTGATCCGTTCCCATAAAGGTAACGGCCTGGAGAGCCCCAGCCACTCCATCACACATGGTCATTTTGAGTCAAGAGTCCGGCCTTGCAGCCCTCTAATGGGAGGGTGTGGGCTCATCCTCCCACAGGCTGAGGATGGGCACAGAGGTGGGGAGGGAGCAGACACAAGTGGCCCAGGGGATAGAGAGGTGTAGCCCTTTGGCGGGCAGACAGGCCAGCGAGGCTGCTCAGGAGATCCTGAGGGTGATGGGAACCAAGGAAGGGCGTATAGGGAGACTGTGGTCTTAAAAAAAAAAAGTTAGAGGCTCTCTGGTGGCTGTAACTGAACCCTTGATGCTGTGAGTATCTGAGGGCTGGGGTGTCTCCGAGGGGCCATATCGTGTGCACTGTGGGTGCTGGGCAGCATCCCGGGCCTCCACCCGCTTCAATGCATGAAGTTGTGACATCCCCAAATGTCTTTAGACAGCATCAGTGTTCCCTGGTGGCATACTGGTTCCGAGTCAGGCTGCTCAGCTTACCAACCGCAAGGTCAGCAGTTTGAAACCGCTCGCCCCTCCGAGAAAGACAGGGCTTTTTAGCCCTGTAGAGAGTTACAGTCTCGGAAATCCACAGGGGCAGTCCTCATCGACGGGCTGGCAGCGAATTTGGAGGGGTGTGTGTGTGTGTGTGTGTGTGTGTGCGTGTGTGTGGTGTGTGTAGTGTGTGTAGTGTTTCCTGAGGGCAGTCTTGTCCTGGCTACATATCCTAGTGTACCTGGCATTGACAAGAGGTGCTTAGGAAACACAGGGGATCCCACTTACCGCATCAAAGTATCAGGAGCCCAGGTGGCGCACCAGTCAAGCGCTCAGCCATCCCCCGTGGGCATTAAGACAGCAGCCTTGGGGCCCCTCTCAGGTTGAGATGCGTTGACGGCAGTAGCTTGGTTGGGTTTTGGTAGCAGGTTACAGAAAAGCCCTGGTGGCATCCTGCTTACACGCAAGGCCAGTCGCAAGGCCAGTCGTTCGAAACCCCCAACACTCTGCAGGAGGGAGAAAGGGCTTTCTACCCCCCAAGAGGGTGACAGTCTTGGAAACTCACCCTGTGCTTTGGAGTCAACTCGATGGTAGCCAGTTTGGCGTGTCATTATTTTACAGAACAACAGGGGCAGCGGTGGTCCTCATAGAATTCCTGCCCCACCGTTCAGATGGGGGACCCAGGTTGAAATCCCAGCCAGGGCACCGCAGGCACAGCCACCACCCGATGTCAGGATGCTGAACAGGTCTCACTCACGCTTCCAGACTGAGAGACTAGGAAAAACAGGCTGGCCATCAACTTGGGGGAATCAGCCAGTGGGAGCCGGCGGCCCCAGGTCAGAGCAGGAGCCTCTCAGTCAACGCTAATAGCAGGAGCCAGTGTCTTTCCTGCGGCAGCACAGTTCTGTGTATTGTAGGGCGTGGAAAGGCATCCCTGGCTCCCAGCCACTAGAGGCTGGTAGCATCCTTTCCCCCCTGTGACACCCAGAATCCCCCCTGGGGCAGATTTCCAGTCTAACCTGATGGTAAATGTGGTTCTCCCCACCTGAGGGAGGAGACAGGCTGAGGGAGCGGAAGGGTGGCCACTCGATCACCAGCATCTGCCCCGCCCCTGCCCACAGAGGACCAGCTGCCCCTGGGCTTCCCCAACATCGACATGGGGCCTCAGCTGAAGGTGGTGGAGCGCACACGGACGGCCACCATGCTCTGTGCTGCCAGCGGCAACCCCGACCCCGAGATTACCTGGTTCAAGGACTTCCTGCCTGTGGACCCCAGTGCCAGCAATGGCCGCATCAAGCAGCTGCGATCAGGTGAGCATCCTGTGGGATTCTCTATGGTGCTCCAGCCCCAGGGACTGGCGGCTAGGGGTGGGGGTGGGGAGCGGGACAGAGAGGCAGAGCCACAAGTGACCTCGAAGCCAGGTAGTGTGGACAGGCCGGGGTAGCAGGGAGCTCTGTGAGGTGGCAGCAGGAGGATTCCTCAATGCCTCCTGGGCACGGTATCCTGGCACAGACCCGTGGAAGGCTGCAGAGAGAGAGTGTCTCCTGTACCCAAGCAGTGGGGCCTCACAGAAGCACTTAATGGGAAGCCCCGGAGGGTCAGTGGGGAGCTCCAGTGCTTCCCAGCAGTGATGGTACAATGTGGTGGGATGGGGCAAAGACAGAGGTGCTCAGAGCCATAGAGAGGAGTGAGGAGAGCACCGTGGTTTGTGATGGGACTCGGTTAGGGTAATAGGGAGCCATGGAAGGTAGCAGAGGGAGAGCATGCAATAGGTAAGTACAGCGGGGCAGACCGGTAGGAGTAGAGGGGGTCACGTAGGCAATCGCAAGCTTCTGTTTCCAGTACCAAAGTCATGGGCATGTCCAGAAGAGATGTAGCACTGCATAGACGGTGAGCTGATAGGGAGCCACGGAGAGCTACAGGGGGCGAGTGTCCCAGCAAAGAGGACCAGGCAGAGGAGATGGAGGGAGAGCTCTGGAGGAGAATCATAGAGGTTTAGGTCTGTGATGGGGGCCCCCCTGGGCTGGCGGGGAGGGCCTTGGTCGTCTCGTGAGGTTGTGTCTCGTCCTAGCACCCATGTGCCCGTTCTCCCAGGCCGTGTGTCCGTCCCCTCGCTGACTTTGATACAGTCTGTGTGTGTGTCTGGGCTCTCTGGGACATGCTGGTCTGCGTTCCACCTGTGTAGACCAGGCCACCCCCTTCCCTTATGTGTGTGTCTGTGTCTGTGTGCCTGTCAGTGGCCACCTGTGCCCCCGAGTTGAGGTCCCCCACGTGTGTCTGCATATACAGCAGGCACCCAGGTGTCCAGGTCTGGGGGTGCACCTCCCTGGTACACACGTGTGCAGATGCACATGGCGGGCCACACCCATGTCCCAGCATGCTGCAGGTACACGCCTGTGCAGGTGTCTGTATCCCATGTCCTGCTGTGAATGGCCTGAGGCCCTGCCCCCGTTCAGACCCCCATCGGACCTGCACAGCCGCTTGCACACATCTCTCTGCTTTCTCCTTTTCCACTGAGGACCCGCCCCCGAAGCCCCCTCCCTGCCCCAGCCCTGCCCTCCGGGGCGGAGGCCCTGGGTCTGCACCTAGGCAGGCCGCAGGGAGAGACCCCATCTCCTGGTGGCGAGAGGAGAGCCAGGTTCCCTCTGCGCACACCGCAGCTCGGGCGGTCACCGGCCACCTTTACGAGTGAAACTAGAAGCAGATCCGGTTCCGGCTCACCCCTACTCCCCTCCCAGCCCCGCCCCCAGGAGGGTGCCTGCTTCAGAGTAACCGACCGGTAACACGCCTGTTCTCTTTTCTTGTCCCTCCGTTGTAAACGTTCAGAAACCTTTGGTAAGTCTGATTGTTTGAACATGTCGACGACTAACGTCCCCACCCCACCCCCACGCCCTCCTCCCTGCCTCTCTCTCCCCTTCTGTCCCCACCCCCGCAGACTAACAGCCACCGTGACTGTAACTGTGACCCCCGTTCCACGTGGCATGTTGACTAACGCCCTCCCCTCACTCGTCACCCAGCCCTCCCCGAGGGGTGCCAGCGGCGAGGAGCAGGCAGAGGCCCGCAGCAGGAAAAGAGGAAAATCAAGAAGACGGGGTGGGGGGTGGGGGCCGTGGTGGTGCTGGGCTATTCTTACTAAAGTGAGAGTGACTGATGGGGGCAGGTAAATAGACCCCTCTCAGCTTCCCCGGGGTGAGGAGCAGACCACCTGTGTGGACTTTCTGCCCAGGAAGGCGTCCCTGGACACTCCTCGGGAGCCCAAGTCTTGACACCCCTCTGCTTTCCATCACCTGAAACCAAGCGCGGTCTAGTGGTCTGGAGGCCGCCTCCCCACCCCAGGGTGACCTCGAGCACACTGCTGTTCCCCTTTGAGTACGAAGCGTGCCCTGAAAATGGTGCCAAGGAAGTTGAAGCTCCTGGCCGGGGGGAGCCCTACTCAAGCCCCGCACCCCCAGTCTCTGGCTCATCACGTGGCCTCAGACAAATCCTGGTCCCTACGGGGCCAACTGTAAAGTGAGGAGGGGCCATATCTAAGAGAGGCCCGGCTGGCCCTGGCTGGCCCCAACCTCCA